GAGGGATTCGTAGTTCGAGGGATACGTAAACAGTGTTATGGCATCGACTGTGTCAGAGTATCAAGGGAAGCAACAAAAATTACTACTTTAGTGAAATGAAAAATGGGGTACTCCATGATGTGTGCGTCATGTGTGTTTGTGTGTGTGTGTGTGCTCGCGTGCACATGAGTGTCGAGCAGCGCATTGAAAATCGCACATCTAGCTACTTCGACTGTGGAACGGGGAAGGTCGTATTTTACCTGTCTTGCCTTTTTCCTTTCAACAAAAAAAAAATATTATTATTATTTTGTTTTAAGTGCACCCAAAGGACATTGACTTCAGACCTCTTCGGGGGCGTAATTAGTTTGACTGTCTTTGCGTAGTTTTTTTTACAAAGATAAAGATGAAAAAAAACGGGGCCGCGAGCACAGCTCGACGGATGCGTGATTTCGAGTCCTCTGTTATTGACCTCTCCGTGTTATACATTTACATATATATATATATATATATATATATATATATATATATATAAATATATATATATATATATATATATATATATATAAATTAGTTAGATTGTAGATGTGGGATGGGATATTTATGGCATATTCTTGTTTCTTCATCAAGGTGCAGATATGAAATGTTAAATCCATCAAATACAACTTATTTCTTCTTTAGATTAGACGTATGAGATGGAGAATTTGTCGTACATTTATTGTTTCCTTAGTTAGGTTGAACATATATAAGATCAGGAATGGGAAATCCCACTCCTATTGAGAATAAAAGTGATAATAATAATAATAATAATAATAATAATAATAATAATAATGATAATTGCTTTCATAAAGCTCGTATCCATGCTCTACAGCATACTCTATGTGCTTTATAATTCATTCCTCAGGTTGTAGATATGAGATGGGGTATCCGTGATGAAGCACAAGATGATCACATGACCACTGAAATCTGTCTGAAAGAAGTAGAGCTCTGCAAGAAGCAATCAACTGGACCCTGCTTTATGGTAAGAGTGAGCAGTATATCCGTTTGGGACACAGTAATGCAGCTGAGATTTAATTTTTTTTCCGTCTAACATTCTTGCAATCAAATTCTGCTACGGAAGAGACAATAATAATAATAATAAATAGCATTTGTATAGCGCATATCCCCGCTCAACAGCAGGCTCTATGCGCTTTACACTATATTATTACCCCAGCAAACCATAGAACACTCCGAAACATTCTCAGCTTCCGCAGAAGCATACAGTGCAAGCAGCGGATTTCACGCGCTCAAACACTATCAAACTGACAAGATCTTTCTCTGTCTATAGCTGGGTACCCATTTCCACCTGGATGAAGTGAGGAAAATTTATGCAAAGTGCCTTTCCCAAGGACACAATGTCGGGCCCCTGACGGGATTCGAACCCACGACCTTACGGTTGCGAGTCCGAGAGCCTAACCACTAGGCCACCGACGCCACAGATTAGGAAGTCAGCCATGAACGAGTGGCAACAGAAGAATAATAAGAAGCATTTATCTTTAGGTAGTTCAGCAACCAGCATTGCTAATTTGAATTGGTCTCATGTTGCTTGCAATTATTGGCTTCTATGGTTTGGCAGTTAGGTGTTTCACCATCAAGTGCAAAAGATGTGAGTTTGATTCCACATTGAGAGGTTTTAATTATCAAGTTTCTTCATCTGTCTGCTAGGTAGATGTATCCCTCTCAGCGCTGGTTGACCTATACAGGCAGGGTCAAATCAGCCTGCCTCATAAATGGTCTTAATTGTGTTGATTGGGATGTGAAACTTTTTCATCTACAACTACTAATGGTTAAATGGTTGAAAATCTCAAAGGTTCCCCATGCATGTTAGTGACACTGCATGACAATTCAAAGTAAATGTCAGTTTAAAAAAGAAATTCAAAATTAGTTCCTTCTCAGAACTGAAGAAATTCTCGTTAGTATTCTGTGCAAATAGGAAATAATGACAAGTGGCTTGAGAATATCTTTTCTTTTTCTAAGATATAAGGGAGCACTTAGGTGTACATGCAGATAATGAGTGGCATCATGGTGAAACCAGGCGCCTTTCAAAATAATGAAATTGAATAAACCAATATTTGTCCACCCTTTGTGCCACAAGGCCACTCATATTGTTTCTACAAACAATCATTGATAAAACTCCTTTGTTTTTAATGCCTTGAGTCAATTTTGAAATTGTAGGT